AAGGGGTGCCCTGGTAAACAAAGCATCTCCAATTTCTTGCTGCTCCCCTCTCCTCCAATTCATTTGTAAATGGCCACTAGATCCCCTCTCAGCCTTCTCTTGCAGAGGCTGAAGAGATCCAGGTCTCTCAGTCTCTCCTTGTAGGGTCTTACCTGCAGGCCCCTAACCATATGAGCAGCTCCTCTGGACCCTCTCAAGGTTATCCACATCCCTCTTGAAGTGCGGCACCCAGAACTGGATGCAGTACTCCAACTGCAGCCTGACCAGTGCTGCATAGAGGGGAAGTATCACCTCACTGGACCTGTTCATGATGCACCTGCTAATGCATGACATATGCTAGACAGACATGCTGACAGCTTTTTATTTAAAGAATTATATGTGCACAAATAAAGCAATGAAAATACAGCTTTCATATAAGTAATAATCTGTTAGACTTCTTATTTTCACTCCTTTAAAACAGTTCTGGAGATCTGACACAAAATTAAAGTTTTAGGCTGCTTGTACGTGTGATGGAGATTTAGTCCCATAAATTGAAATGGTGGGTTTACAATTTTGACTATTAAAAACCCACTGTTTCAATTTAGGGGCTTTGGTCATTGTTAGGGTAAGAGGCCTGATCTCTTTCTTTTTCATTTTTTTTTGCGGAGCTTGTTTGAATCTACCTTGGTCAAGAGCTGAGCTGCCAGCAGGCCAAGCGACCCCTGAGCTATGGGGTCCCGGGTCCCTCCCCACACAGTGGCATCACTCCCCGGGGCCACCCAGGCGGGCAGGGAGACCTTGTAGGGAGATCTTGTACCTTTCAAGCCCCGAATGAGGCAGTGCTTGTTGTGTCAGCGAGCAGCATGACCTGAACAGGCACATTGCAGGGGAACTGATGTGGGGACAATTCTTTGGGGGTGGGAAGGAAGCTCTCAGTGATTGCATCTCGCTGGGCATCACCTTTGGTAGCATCCCACAAGAGATGGGAAGCACCCTTCTGATTGGTTCAGTTCTACAGTGAGTGCTTGACTGGGCTGACTTCTAGTCCCAATGTGGTACGTCATGCTGGCTTGTAGGAGGCCCTTGCATCCCCTCCTGAATGAGAGGATGCCATTGGAGTCTGTGGCCTGAGCTGGCATGTTATATCTTAGGGATTCTGCAGAGAGAGGATAGAGGATAGATGTGAATGCTCCAAGCACCAGAACCCTGCTCTAGAGTGCACTGAAGGGCCGAATTCCCAGGGTACCTTGCTGGTTCCCCCTTTTCCAGAGTAGTTCCATGAATGAGCTCTGGCTCTTACCCTCTCCTGTCCATTCAGTACAAACTGATCATCACTGCATTGGTCCTGACATTCTGTTTATTTTTTATGGCTGACTTATTACAAGGCTCTGGCTTGTCTGCTTGGGCTCACAGAGTAGATGGTGACTCCATAAGCAGAATGCTGTCCTCATAATATTTGGCACTTAGTGCCTTTCATCAAAATGTATCTTGGAAAAGGGAAGTATTTCCATTTTGCACTGGGGAAATAGAGGCAAAGTGTCTGTAAATCATTCTGAGTTGATGGGAGAGTCAGTGGCTGATTGGTTTCTAGGGTGACAAGAGCCAGACCAGTACCAAGAAGAAGAGCCTAGCTCTCTGGAATCTGTTTTGTAGCCACTGGACTTCTATAAATGGTCACTGCTTCCTCTGGGCTGACCAGCACAAAGCCCCAGAAGCACTATTTGAGTTCCCTGCAAATGGCTGGCCAGATCAGGCCAGGACACAGAGCTTTGGACCATGAAAACAAAAGTTGCCTGTACACATGTGGGATACCTGCTCTGTTGTATTCTGATTAGAACATGTTGAGTCTGCTGGAGTGTTTTAATTAGAATACTCCAACATCTTCGCCATCATGTGTATTCAGTGTCCCCATGTTTCAAAATGGTGGTGGGTTACTTTACCTAAAGCTCATCGAACGATCTTTACTTAAACATCCCCATCACCATTTTGAAGCACGAGCTACTCAATACATAAGATGTTGTGAGTGTTTTCATTAGAACGGCTCCCGAGAGCCGTTCTAATGAAAACGTGCCCTCCACCCTCACCCACCCCAGAGCACATATATAGATGACCAAGGATTTTGGGCTCTTTCCTTAACTGGTGCTTTCTAAAAAACAGCTAGATTTTTTTTTCTTCCCTTTTCCCTGAGGGAATGACTTCCTGCAGAGGGCTGTGACGCTTCCCAAGCCCATGTACACATTCCTCTTTCCTGGTTGCATGCGTATCTGGAGTATCACCTGGGGGGTCACAAGTTGGATAAAAGCATGAGATGGCTTCTGAAGATTCAGTGTCAGAAGCACCACTTCTGTAGCATCCTGAGCGTTTGGGTACATGAGAGCTGGTGTTCCTTTGAACTCAGATCCCCTGTGTGCTAATAATTAGTGCTCCCCTCTCTCCCAGACCTGTTACTGCTGGTATTTCAATCTTTATTTGTAGCCATACAATGAGAGCTGTGCTAACACCTGCCCAGTGGTTGTGGTGGTGTGCCTGGCTGGCCAGTAGCATTGCAGCCCCTGCAAGTATTCCTTTAAGTTAAGTGCTCTGGGTCACACAGCTGTGGTAGGAAACTGGAAGACTAGCTAAAGGATTTCACTGTACTCTACTTGCCTTCCTCTTGCTGCCATCACCTTTGCCTGCTGCTGTCCACAGGTGGCCAAGCTCCCCATCCCTCTGAATGTTACAGAGATGCACTCTAAAGCAAACAGAGGAAACTTTCATAGGAACCCCAGATGCTTTCCCCTTGTGACATGTTTGGAAGGAGCCTGCTAGGGTCTGGCTTTGGTTTGCAGTTCAGAAAAGCTGAGTTGCAAGTTTTCAGGGTTGGATATTTCCAAGCAAACATCATCTGAAAATAACCCCCCTAGAGCCTCAGAAGACAAGAAAGGAGGCTGATTCAAGCTTCCTGTTCCAGATACTACATTCAGACTTCCAGGATTATTAGGAGGAGAGAGGGATGCCTGGAGCAGCTCTGGGAGCTGACCTGCCAGAGTGAGGAGAGGAATGCCAGGCCTTGGTATGTGGAGGAGGGAATGTGGGGAGAAAGTGTTGTGGGCTCAGCGACTCCTGCATACAAGGACGTTGAGAACCAGTGTTTAAGAAAGAGGGATTAGCAGCTTTGCATTGGCTCCCTGCCCAGCTCTGCCTCTGGCACCAGTACAGAGCTCCTCTCCTGTTCCCCATGACTGTCAACTCAGCCTGCCCATGTGAGGGGCTGGGAGGACACCACAGCACTCATCCTGGCTGCACAGACTCGCACTATGACAGTTTGAGAGAAAGAGAAGCAGGAGCTGGGCAGTGAAGCTGTGATGCCTTCATCCTCAGGCTGTGGAGGGGGGATGCTGCAGCTGGGCTGTGGGTATTTGGTTTGTGAACAACTGGGGAGATGCTGAGAGCACTATGAGCTACTCAGAGCTGCCCTATACCCTCACTGAAAGGGGCTCCTGTGCAATACTGCATTACAGGCAAGGGGAGAATCCTGTACTAGCATGGACTGGATCCCTCAAGTAGTGGTCTCATGAGCACTGCCAAGCCATGCACAACTTGGAGAGGAGCCCTGCAAGGCAAATGCCCAGTGTTGCTGCTCGAAGAGTATGCGATATTGTTCCTGTGTCAGTCCTCATGCATGGCCTGAGCGTGGAGCTTGGCTATTAGGGCTGTGCTAAGCTTTGGTTGGTGATTCCATTTGGTGGCTGAATCCCCAAATCTGAATTGAATCGGGACCAATCTAAAGGTCTGAATTGATTCAAAGCTCTCCAAATCTTCGGAAAAGATTTGGAGAGCTTTGATGATTCGGGCAGTCCCCGGTGGCTGCAGCAGGGAGCTGCAGCTGACTCCCAACTGGTAAGTACTAGGGGCAGGAGAGGGGGTGCTGAGGGAGGGGACCATGGGGGGACCCCAGCCAGCACCTCTGACTGCCCCCCCGCCTGCTCCCCCAGCCCCCCATGGCTGCCCTGCCTGCTCCAGCTCCTGGTACTTAAAAAAAAACAAACCCCAGTGCTCACTGGGTGCTGCTGGGTGGGGAGGTGATCCCCGCTGCCCCGCGCTGCATTGGGGGCTCTGCAGCTGAATCTCCAAATCAGATTCGGCCAAATCGAATCGGGACAGTGATTCAAATCACCAAATCGAATCACTGTCCCCTGAATCGGCCGAATCTAAATCCGAAGCTAATACTAGCCACTTCGTACAGGCCTATTGGCCATGCTGCTGAAGAGGCAGGCTGAGGGCCGGCCAGTGAGGCTGAATTCTCAACCTGACAGGAGCACGAAGGTCACGGCACGATCTGAAGGGTTTGAGCCCATCTGTGCTGGCCGTGTTCTGTCTTGGAGCACTGCACTCACTCTGTCACTAACAACACCCTTGGGTTGTCACCCCGTCAGCAGCCAGTGCATTTCTGTTGCTATATAAATCAGATGGGTTGATTCATGTAGGATGCTTCTTTTGGCTTTGTGTCTTATTTTGCTTAAAATTGCTTGGTGCTCTTAAATAGCTGCTGAAGTTGCTTCTTTGTGTGAGGCATTAGAAATATATGAGGTGGCTGCTACTGCTGTAAGTATTTGGCTCCTGACCTGGGGATCCAGGTACCAGTGTCTTCTTGTTTTGAGAAGAGCTGACACTTGTAAAGCTCTTGTTCTCTGTGGAAAGAGAACAGGAATACTTGAAAGAGAACAACTGGCTTTGCTTACCAGTAGGAGCCTGTTCTTTAAGCCTACACAGTGTCAAGCAGATGTCTTGTAGCTGTAAATGGGTGCTTCTGCAAAGCTGGTTTTGAGGATAAATCATCAGGGGAGTTGCCTAGGGCTCCCACCAGTCTTTCAATATGTGGATGGGAGGAAAGGGGGGGCATGACTTAGCTTTTGCTTGGGGCTTCCATTGGTCTAATTCCAGCTCTGTTCATATAGCACTTTTATCCTCTGTTAGTAAAAACTACAGTACTATAATTCATTGACAATCATCTATCTATTCATGCTTGTCTGTCCTTCCAGAATGGAGACCAGCAGTGGTACTTGGAGCCTTCAACTGTGCCGACGAGTCCCATCAGAAAGTGTGTGGGGATTTTGGAATAACTGGATTCCCAACTCTGAAGGTAAAATTTGCACTAGCTGGGTGGTATGGGGCTGGTGGAAAGCAGAGCCTCGCCTGTTTGCCTGGTGTCAGTGCTTCAGCCTGTGTGACCTCCCACACATGATAACCAAAAGTCTCTCTTGATCAGTTCCTCAATGGCTCTGGTCCCTAGTCTGTGTATTGTATAGTGCTTTGGCTTTGTTTGAAGAGGAGCTGAATAGCAGTAATTGGCCATGGGCCATTTCAAATCTCCACTGTCCTCTGCTTATCTCAGCACTTCAGCAAACAGAAGGCACTTATTTAGGATGTTTCTCTAAGCACAAGGAACGGGGCAGGGAGGTGTCAGAAGAATCCTTTGCAGTTGAAGTGTCCCCTAAAGAGGAGCTGCCAGGGGAAACTCTCTTGCCTTGTGACCAAGCTGTCGCATGTATGTGGCTTGCTGTGACAGAGAAACAGGAAACTCCCATACTGACCCCCAGCTCCTGGGAGAGAGGCCTCCTGGAAGTGCCTACTAGCTGAGCACTCTGTATGACAGTCTCCCTTCTGACTAGGGGAGCCATTTTTATGGTCTCTCTTAGCTGTTTCCTTTAAACTATCCTTTCTGCCTGTTCAGATAAATGGGGATCTTGCATCTATGTGAGTAACACCACGGATCTTCTCCTGAGGGCTTTCCAAACAAGGTTCAGCACCTAGGAATTTCCCCATGCTCCCTCCTGAAGTGCAGCCACCTCTGGGGTTTAACACAGCAGGTGTTTAATCCTATGCAGCAGCGCTTCTTCACTTCCTGGCCCAGAGTGCAGATAATCCAATGTGCATGTTCAGCCCCTGCGGGGATTAGGGTAGGCAGAACCAGTCATGATGGAGGACATGCCCTGAGCCATTTCGCAAGTACTGTGGGGGTGACCACATATGACACAGCTTCCTAATTCTCTGCTCTTTGTACTACAGGGCCACAGCAAGATTTTGTTCCCAACTGCAGGCTATGTTGAGGGCATCTGGTGCCTCTGTTGCTTTTGGCCATTACTTTACTATTCCACCCCTTGGTTCCATGCCCAGGAGCTAATTGTGTAAATAGATATAATTTTAATATTTCCTTACACAAACAAAAGCACAATCCAACATAAGCAAAGCAACCAAAGCTTCTGAGATACCTTATTAACTTGGAATTGCCTTGAATTTTGGATGGAAAGGGGAGGAGAACTTTCATAATTAACTTTAATTATTAGCTGTTATTTACAAAGTGGCACAAGAACACACAAGTCAAGAATACTGTCCTGGGCATGTTGCAGATGTCCTATTTTTTTTCCTTCCTGGTACTCCTTTAAGGGAGTCCCTGTAAATAGTCATCCAAGATCAGAGTCCAGGAGGCAAAGCCCAAACCTGACAGAATTCAACAGTAAGTCCTCCCTTGCCCTTTCCTCCCAGGCCCATTGTACCTCTCACCCTGCCTGTGCTCATTTCCAGAGGAAAGTGGATCATCTGGCCTGTATCTGTTCCAGCTGGGGGGATGATGTGATGCCTCTGGTCTGGCACAAAGGGAAATACAATGTCTATCAATCTTAAAATGCCTCTGCCACAAACATTTCCTGATCCAAAGCCAGGGCTGCTTCGAAGATCTCATTTAAAGAGACAGTGTCAGTGAGAGTCCTCAGTAAAAATTGTTGTGTTTCCAGGGGTTACTCAGATTATCTAAACAGGAAGGACTCTGTGAACTTTCCTTGCACTGTTCTTTCTACACTACTTTCTGGCTTTGTCCATGATAGTTTTTGGCTGAGCTGTACCTGAAGGCAGATGATTCCTATGGCTATCTAGCCAGAACTTCAGTAGTGCAGCACAGAATGTATGTTTTGTTTTTATGGTGAGATGATACACCTTAGTTATCCTGCTGTAAAAGCCTAATGGAGACAAGATGCCTGTAGTTATCACTGGGCTGTGGATAGGTGTGGCTAGCACCATGCTGAGCACCAACCACTGACTTCACCTAGCTACTCATCAGGAGGATTTTATGGTGAAGTAGCTAAAGTATCTGCCTATGAAAACCTGCCTTTTTGTCCTTGAAAACATGGCCTCTGTAATTTTCCCATCACACTCTCTTTCCCAGTGTAGATGAAAACATTCTGTTGTATAATAGATTTGTGTGCAACCCTTGGTGCTTAGTGTAGACCAGTCAACCTCAACAGACTCAAGACACCCCTCGGAAAATGCCAGATTTTAGCTTTTATTGGGTTTTGTATTACAGAAATGTAATAGAGCAGTTCTTCTGTTGTAAAGAACTTGGGAAGTCTACAACAGGACAGAATAGTTTTGACACTATGGATTTCTATTTAAAATCTGTGGATTTATCTTGTGAATTGTGTAGGTGTTTGCATATGTCATGGTGCTAATGTTACACAGCATGCCACAACACCTTTAAAAGCACCCTGGGTGAGAATCCCTGGTGTAGACAGTGTCAGACACGTTCAAGAACATCACTCTATTGAGTTAACTTTTGTACTTTAAACTAATGCGAATGTTTGCATGACTGGCTTTGCCTGGGGTAGGTGTTATTGAAAAAACATGTCAACTTGCATGTACTGGCTAATGTGTTTAAAAGTTCACTCATTTTCCCAGTATAGATAAATTGGGTGTGGAGCTGGACACTGTTTTGCTTTTCAGTCTGTGTGCTGCAGCAGCAGAGCTCCTTGTGTTACCTTCTTCCTCCCCTCCCTCCCTCCGCGCCCCACCAGTACATAGCCACACCTAGCTGAACGAAATCGGGCATTAGTGTTGCCCACGCTAGTCATTCCCCACCTGTGGGGTTGGTTGTGTGTCATTGTTTGCAATAAAAGCCCAAGTCCCTTTGGGTCTGTTCTCACTCCTCCTGGGGCAAGTCATGTTGTGTGGGAAGAACCAGCGGAGACTCTCTCTGCCTTGTGATTGCCAGTCCCAGTCCCAGCTACTTAGAATCGCTGCCTCGCGCATCTATACACAACTATTCTGCCTCCACCTTACAGTAACTTTGGTTGGGAAATCCCTATCATTGGGCTGGTTGCCAAGAAAGGGATGATGGAGAAAAATGCACCTTAAGCCCCCTTTTTGTGTTTGGCTGGAGTAAAACACCATCCAGACTCCCAGAGAAATCACTGTGCTGAATGCAGGCGAAGAGGAAGTTAGTTATGCTGGGAGGAAATTAGAGACTGTGAGGTGGAGTGCTGGAAACCAGAAAGAGCCCACATTTAGATGAGCAGTAGTGGACCACTTCTGTTGGAGGAGAGCAGACTGGGTGCTGGAGCAGTGATCCTCAAGCCGATACCCCAGGAATGGGGGATGACTGCCTCTGTACCCATAATATGATGCTTGTAGGTATCTTGAAAAGCTTCCCAAAGTTTCAGGAACACCTGCAGAAATGGCAGTGCTGTGAGGGCACTCAATTCAGGTTGGTCTGTATCTCTCCTTCTCCTGTTTCCACGTAGCCACCTTCTGCAAACAGATTTTGTTCCCAGTCCAGCCTGTTTAGCAAACACTTGCCAGATGCAATGAGATTGCTGCCAGTTTAGTGCAGGTAGCCTGGGTGAAGCAGCATTCGCAGCAGGGAGCATGGGTTGACTGGCAGCAGGTAGTGAGGGTAGGCTGCCCACAACAGGAGAATGGTGTGCAGGAGATAAACCTCTCTCATTTGTTGCCTTAAAGGCTCCACACCAGAAGCAGGGTAAACATTTGCTAAGACCAGTGTCTTACTAAGATTGTATTAGATTGTATGCATTCCTGATTCCTTGCCAAATGGGAGCTCGATTGTTCATCTCTGGTAGCCCCAGCATGCCTTCCCTGCTGGCATTTCTGGGCTGCAGTTGCTGCTGTGTGCTGAAGACTGAAATCTCCTAAACCTAGGACACCATGGGTGCCTTTGGTATCTTCCCCTCTCCCTACACTATCCCCCTCTCCCCCAGTTTATCTTTGGAGGAGTTAAAACCTCCTTCCAACAGCACAGACCTCTCTTTGGCTTGAGGGCATGTCACTGCTTTCCTAGCCAATGGGCTGGGTGTTTTTTGTCCAGGGACAGGACTTCCCACTGCCCGAATTCCAAGAGCTGACAGGGAGCTGGCTGACACCTTCCTCCTCCCTTCTGCATTGCCTTCCACCTCCCTCCTCCCACAGCAAGAGCAAGCTCATCCAGATGAAACTTTCTACCACCCTGAGGCCTTGTTAGCCCCTGCGTTTCAATGCGCTGCAGCCCTTCTGCAGCAAAACCTAATGTCTCTCTTCTGGGCCAAATGTGAGAACCAGGAAGAAAGTCTCAGTGGCATCTTGGCAAATGCAGGACAGTGGTCTTATCCCACTTGTGAGATGCCAGAAAGTGGTGTCTGTTAGCCAAATTCTCTTGCCTGCTGCAAATGCTATAAATGAGGTGGGAGTCTTGTCTGTTTCCTGTTCCTTTCCTCAGTCGCTGCAGCCCAAAATCTTCATATAGTGCATCCTTACAGAGCTTCCTGGAAATGACAGGAACTCTTGCTTGTGAAGAGGCAATCCCCTGCCATCCTCCCCAA